GTGGCCAAGAGAGCATCGTCTAATAAGTTCCAAAAAAAAAAAAAAAAAATGCTCAATGCATCAATTTTTGAGCTCTAGTTATTATCCTTCAATCATCATGAGCGTAACTTCTGCAAGTTTTTAATTACTGCGTTTTGGTCAGAAGAGCACAAATACTTGAATTATATGACAATATGCGTATGGCGCGTGTTTATTATTAAATAGAGCTTTCAAGGGTTTTTATAAATAAGCTATATTGTTGAAGAGCTATTGAAATTCAATATTACGATAGAGCTTATGAACTCACCGGCGCGTATATTTTAAGTACGTTTCCTCCAGTCAGTTGTATACAGCCATTTATAGACTGAAAAACATTTCAAATAATAATTCTTATTCCTAACTATTTTCGGCTTTGTGACATTACCTATCATTTACTATATTACCTATAGAAAAATTGATGAATACAGTTCGTATTAAAAAAATAATATTTGTATATTATGTAATAAAAATAAATTAAAATTAAAGCAGGTTATAGGTTATATGTGTTAGTAAATTTTAATGAAGTTTTCACTATTATATGTATAAATCAAAAGTACATTTACAAAAATTTAATATTTGAATATTTTATTTATAGTGGATACACTAAGATATTTTATTGTACAGTATAAATCGTATAAATATTCATTTGGACTTTTTTTTATACATAATCCAGATAAAATTTGAATCAATAATATTTAATTCTTAATGCATTCGAACATAAAACATAACATACTATTTACAAATCTTCTGACGCACAACATTTCGTAAAAAGTGTTCGCACATTCGTGGTGTAGGTTTTTGGCAGTTTCCTGTGAACCGGACACCGATGTTTGTATCATTCAAAAACTGAAAAAATAATCGTAATAAATCAAAATAAAGTAGTGTATTTCGATAGGCACAATGCACATGTTAAACGAATTGCAGATATATAGGTAGCAACTATTTAGGCGATAATTACCATCGCCTATTCTTGGGTGCAGCGTGGAATGGGATAAATGGGTTATGAATTTGTATTCAATATTGTGAATTTAATATAAAATAACACGTTTTTACACAACTTATTACATATTATTATTCATAGTTACACGATTATGTATTACAAGCTTGTACATAAGTAATATTTGCCGTCGAAATTAACACCAACATACGCGATGATAATATATATATAGATCAATAATTTTTTGTTTTTTACACGTTGCTGAGTTTTTATTTATTGCAGTCGTCAAATCCACCACGATTAAATAATATTTCTACGTGGGTATGAAGGGGTAAGGGCGCCCGAATAACTAATAATAAATACAATCAATGAATATTTGACGAATAGTTAAGGATGCATTATCATTGTGTAGAGTTACTAAATATTACATAAACTCAAAATCCGTTGATTGGATATAATACGAGAATCGCTTATCAACGAGATCAAAATAATAAACTAATTAATAAGTATTTAATTCATCTCGAGGTGAGAGTATGAATTCTTTGAGTGTAACTTCAAATTCCTATCAATTAAAAATCAGACTTCGTCGATACGGCAACGCCAACTCCGTCTTAGAGCTACTATTGATCTACGTGCATAAGTTACTGGAGTAAACCGGTTCATTTGTCAGACGGCGTAGTGATGGTATACCGGTTATCGCCGGAAATCGGAAACTATTTTGAAAGGATACAATATTTGAAGTGACTTCTGTGTGATCCAGGGGAGCGGGTAACATTCGTTTGAATTATATTATTATTGTTATAGTTGACGAAGTTTGAACGTGTATCAAAAGCGGCGTGATGATTTGAATTTTTACAATTACATTTTTGAGTTTTAACTATGAATCAGCGTTCTTGCAGTGAAATTCGTTTACATTATTGGTTAATAGGTACTGTGTACCATCCTGAAATGGTGTGTGCAATACATCAGTGACATATCGCATCCTAGATAACTGCTATAATATCGTAAAATAAATAATAATATAATAATAACCTTATGAGTTATGATAATTGTATTTTCCCGTTAACATATTCATACTTTTTTAGATCAAGATAATTGTTCTTTGATACCGGTATTATTTTTTTTATCTTTTTTAAAACATAAACTTGACTTGTGTGATGACGAAAATTTGCTTATAGGTACTAGGTAGTTGATGATATTTTAATTTATAACATCATACTGAATACCTAGTGATGATGTATTGTATAGCATTATGATAGCACTGGTATACTGTTATGTACGCAGCGTTCGGGCGATAATGTAGTAGTAAGTCTAATAAATTTTATTATGTATAATTTTATGAAGGTACTATATGTATTTTTAATATGTTTATATTAAATTGTTACACTAGTTTTTATACTGTTTGTCTCTTTACTGATAGATTATTAACACCATTATTATTTCGAAAATCTACAAATTTTTTCGTTATTTCTTGTTTATACATTATATCAGTTTATTTATGACCGCTACAGCAATTATTTACAACGACTTCGCATACAATTATGAACTAAAAATAATATACAAAGAATGGTAGCCGGAAATAATAATTAAAAAGTAATAACATAAGTACATATATTACGGCTTTTTAATAACATCCATATTATGATTTATATATGTGCTTTATAACATAATAAATAATAATGAAATAATAAGTATTTTGTGCTTGCTATAAATACGCCATTATGCCATTATTTCAAAATAATTACTTGCATATATTACAATTTTTTATTTTTTCTTTTATTGATAGGATAATATATGAGGTTCCTCTTTAAAAATTATTTCAAGAAACATAAACATGTTTCATTGCAATGTGTAAGATCGACGTAGTCATCCGTCATCATAAAGAATGATTGTATTATTTATTTCTCGTTGATAGAATTAAACCTGTGTACGTTTCATGAATAATCAAAGAAAATATACAAAAAGAAAATATGTTTAAAAAAAGGCTTACTTGACACTTATGTTGTTGACATCGTTATATTTGATGGTTGTTTTCGGAACGATTTCGGTAGATTCAATCGTATTTTCGATTTGATCCTACATATATATACAGTGTTTAAGTGGAGGGAGGTTGGAATGTGGTACTTAACAACTTTGGCTTTAGTCAATTTAGTCCCGCTCTGAACTAGTAGTCTTGTATCAGAGCCCAGAGGTAATTTTCTACCTATTTTTTATTTACTCGTAGTATCAATAACTAATAAGGACTCTCTTTCTCTAACTACCGATCTGTCTCATCAAGAATTAGAGCAATAAACTGTTGGCGCATCGTTGAATGGAATGGTGTTCAATTAACGCAATTGTTTAAAAATAATTTAATTCCTCCTACAAGAGTCACGTTCAAGTGATGTATGCTTGTCGTTTTAATTAAATTTGTAAATCGGCTAGTAAAAGTTTAAGTTTTTTTTTTTTATCGGCGGGTGGTTTACTGTGTTGCTCAAATAGTGAATTTGCTAAATTCGTCGAATTTTCCTTTTAATTTCATTATTACGGACGAACACGAAACCGGGACTCGTCTTTCACGGCGACTATTCCAATTTTTCATTTTCGTCCAACCAAAATTGTGCAGTATATCTCCCGGTCGTCGCATAAGAACGTGTGTTAGCTGACGGAGCTACGGAAGGAAGGACAGCGGTTTACGACGGTTAGACAGCAGGGTATTCGACATCTGATACCGCCATGCCGGGGCTGTCACGAATATAGTATACAGCTAACACTGTACACATCACCGCCGCCGTGCAAACAAAATCGTGTCTGTCTTAGAAGTTGGAGCAGCTGTCTGTCTACTACTACGACCACATTATAATATTAATTCGTCCATGAATCGATTCGGTCCGCCATTCAGGGGGGGGAGCTATTAAATTCTTCCTCAACAATTAATTTCCGTATCGTTAATCCTGTTAATATCCTTATTTAATTTTATTTATTAGGAACCACTGTAATGCCATTCACAACAGCTCTAGTACGAAACAGCGTCATAATACGATTAATTACTGTTTAGTATTTACGATTGGTTGATAACAGGAATGTTCTGGAATCGACGGTCACACTGTCGGGCACTGCGGTTCCGTGTCCGGCGCAGTGGGTTACATGAAAATAAAATAAAAAACACCGGCAACGTGTACTTATAACTGGCTGCAAACGCCGGGTGCCTGTGACGGCGACGACGTGGCAACACTGTCCGACCGCATTCGCGGCGCCGCCACCTACGCTCCCTCCGCCCTGTAATTCGTTTTTCGTCTCTTCCGTCGGCCCGTCGGGCGCCGACGTTTGCGAAATCGAAAACTCAATGACGATAACGCTAACACAGTACACACGTACGCCCACACACGCGCACACACTGTTTTTTTACGATATTTTAGTACACAATAAATAATAATAATAATAATATTATTATTATTATTATTATCATGCATTTTTCGACGATAACCGTGTGTCCGTGTAGTGTGTACTGTGTATACATGTAAAATATTTATATATCAGTAGCCAGTAGTACAACTGTCGGTTGTACAAATACGCCATATCTATATCTATTATAAAAATAAAAAAAAAATAAAAAAATAGTAATAGCGATTGATGAACAAATAAATTGATCATAATAAAAGTGTAACGCGGATGCCCAACGACCCAGTGGCAGCAATATCTATGATGTCGTGCGGGATGGTATTAAATAAAGAAATTTAGAAACTGTCACAGTGTAGGGGCGGTATTGGGTCGGACTGATAAATTACTGATTAGGGAGGTGTAGTACTGCACTACTGCGCCAAGTCGTTGTGGTAGCGGCGGCGGCGGTAGAGGAGGACGTCGTTTCGCAACAATGTCGACCATTATTTTCGGTATACGCTCGATGTTCTTCGCATCACCGTCGTCCGTCGACCTCCCGCACCCTCGACACGATTGCACAACACGTTGTGATATAAGCTTCGACGGACACACGTGGTCCACCACCTTCCAATTTACTCGTGCTGGCGCTCAATAATCTTCATACTTGTTTTCGTTCTCGTTACAGTGCCAACAAGATCGTAATCAGCAACGTGCCCAGCAGTGTTCGATTCGAACAATTGGATCAGATACTCTTGCAGTTCGGTCAGGTCAAAGACATCGAGAAGCTCAGCCAACGCGATGGACCGACACAGGTTATACAGATCACATTCGAATCCACCGAACAAGCACACAAGTGAGCATACAAATTACCACCCATTCTGTCCACTATGTCGTCATGTACTAACCAGAAATTTAAGACCTAGAATAGTCTCTTCGATGTTTACATTTTGTAACTGTGAAATTGTTAGATTCTGACCCCATATTTTTTGCCTTTTTCATTTTCACTTTTTATGATGTTTACAATTTTATTATATTGATCCATATTTTGTTTTTTTGACGATAATGACACAATTATTGTGGAATTTATAGAATAACACAATTGTTAAACATTAGATATTCTAATTTCCAGTGAAAAATGCATATTGGGTACAATGTATAATAAATTTTAGATCTATGGGTTCTAATTAAGTGTATTTTATCTTTATAGTGCATTAGCCAATTTGCCAGGTTTAGAGCTTGAGGGTTGCCAAGTTAAAGTTGAACCAGCCATGGAAAGGAGAAATCGTAGTGCGATAAGACAAAGGACCTATGGTGCTCCTGGCGCTACTCCTACTATTGGGAATAGACAAACAGAATTCCCATTACGTATACTGGTGCATAGCGATATGGTTGGTGCAATTATTGGCCGAGGTGGTTCTACAATTCGACAAATTACACAACAGACAAGAGCCAGGTAAAATCTATGTTATTAAATATTATTTTGTTAATCTTAAAAAGGTTGGCCAAGTCGATATGTTATTGTTTTAAATTAGGTAATTATAATATTAATTTATGTTCTAGGGTTGATGTCCATCGGAAAGATAATGTTGGTTCTTTGGAAAAAGCTATAACCATCTATGGCAATCCAGAAAATTGCACTAATGCATGTCGTAAAATTTTGGAGGTTATGCAACAAGAAGCGACTAACACTAATAAAAGGTAATTATTAATTGTCAAGAATAATTTCTTAAATTAAATTTAAGAAATAATGTGTTATACATTTATAAATTAATATGGATTTCTTAATTATATTTTTTAGTGATGTGATACTGAAGATCTTGGCTCATAATAATCTGATCGGTAGAATAATTGGAAAAGAGGGTAATACGATCAAGAGAATTATGTCTGAGACTGAAACAAAAATTACTGTATCTAGGTAAGTAAAAAGTACAAACATGAACATGTTTGTAAAAAATTAGATAGTAATCAACAATTCAAAATAATTATAGCATAAATGACATCAACAGCTTCAACTACGAAAGAATAATTACTGTCAAAGGCTCAATAGAGAATATGTCTAAAGCAGAGGCTCAAATTAGCGCTAAGCTCAGACAGAGTTTTGAAAACGATCTACAATCTATGGCTGTAAGTATTTACTCAGCAATTATTATTTAAATAATAGTATGGTTAAATTTACTGACGTTACATTATATTTGTATACTTCTGTTTAGCCTCAAACTGTTATGTTCCCTGGACTTCATCCAATGGCAATGATGTCAGCAACAGGTATAACTTATCCAGGCCGCGGTGGTCCAACTAGTTATCAACAATTTGCACCAGCACCATATCCTCCCATGTATCCATCTACCATTCCGGCGATTAACCCAGCTTTGGCTGCAGATGTTCAGGTACACTTACAAATCAATATAAATAAATCTTATAACACTCGATTTATTTTTATTTGACATGTATTATATATAAATATTATTTTATTTTAGGAAACAGCATTTTTGTTTATACCAAACAGTGCCGTTGGTGCTATAATTGGTACTAAGGGTTCCAATATCCGTAGTATGATTAGATTTAGTGGTGCATCAGTCAAAGTTGCATCTACAGAAAATGAAAAACAAGGAGTAGCAGGTAGCACAGGTGACGCAAACAGTGCACAACAAGCTAGCCGAAAAGTGACAATTGTTGGTACAGCTGATTCTCAGTGGAAGGTATAGTATACATTTTTTTAAACATTTTAGATCATGCTTTTAACTAAAAATGTGTTTTAATACCTTAGGTATGATAAAAAATCTAATTAACTATTTTTGTTTAAATTTTATCAGCTTTTAATGTTATATTTTGTTATTATTGGGTCATTTAACCATTTTCACAACTAAAAAGAAAAATTAAAACTTTCTCATTTACAATTTATTGAGTTATGTCGAATTTTTAAATACTTTATTTCATTTCAATTTCATAATTAATTGTTTATTTTATATAGGCTCAAGGTATGATATTTGACAAGTTGCGGGATGAAGGTTTTGTTCCAAATAATGAAGAAGTTAGATTGACAGTAGAAATATTAGTGCCTAGTAGCCAAGTTGGTCGCATAATAGGTCGTGGAGGATCAAATGTTAGAGAATTGCAAAGAGTAACTGGATCTATAATTAAACTGCCAACACAAGGATCAACTGATGGTACAGAAGACACTACTACTGTACACATTATTGGTCACTTTTTGGCTACGCAAGTAAGTAACATAATTATATTTTGAATGATTTCTTTAATAAATATAATATGCTTACTATTTAATTTTTAGTCGGCTCAAAGAAGAATTCGTTCAATGGTTGCATCTGGAGCAAATCCGGTGCCACGTCCACAACAACGCAACAGCAGACCCACAGAAACACCACAACAGTGAGTTGATGACAGTTATCATTAGTTCCTGGCAAATATATCTCCTCCACTGACGTCAAATATTTCTACATTACAAATAATGATATTTGCACAATACATTATTGTTGTCAGTTTATTTGCTACAGGAACTAATGGCTGTCTTTCCTCACAACAAATTAAGAGCTACTGTTGACCTTATAGGTCAAAGGAGGGGATGTGACTGATTGCGTGACCAAGAGTACAAACGATTGTTAGGGTATAGACAGAGACGATTTTTGCTTCTATCTACCTTTCACAATCGGCTCTTTTTATACATGATTAAAGTTAGGGATTTTTTTTTTTAATTAAAAAGAGGGAGACAAAATTTTGAAAAAAAAATACCTTTTTTTTCCTTAAATTTATTTTTGATAAATTGTTAAAAGTTATTTAATTTTTAATTTATTAATTTTTTTTTGTTAATTTTTTTTTATATTTAAAAAGTATATATTATATATATATTTATATATTTATAAAAATTTTATAAAAAAAAAAAATAACTATGGTAGGATGTAGCACTTCCTTCCCAGGAGTGTTACATAGAAAATGGAGATACAAAATTTCAAACTAATTTAAAACACCCCTCAAAATTAAAAACAAAATAAAACATTTTTTGCTATTTCTAAACAACATCTTCTCCCATAAAAACAAATTAAACGCAATCTATTATTACCTTTTTTTTTTTTTTTTGCTCTTTTACTAGGTTGAAACATTGACCTGGCTACAAATTTAGCGATAATCCATCCATCCCCCACTTACATAAATTAAACAATGCCACAGTAGCATTTCTAAATGGACTAGTAGGAGGTCTAGTCCATAATATAATTGTTATACTATATTTAATTATAAATAATATAAAAAATATATATTGTTGACATTTAACAATTTTGTCTCCAGCATCTTGTTCTAGACTTACATACTAAATAATTAACACATACTCAATTATTATGGGCATTATATAATTATAAAATTATAATTCAAAATAACTGTCTGTGACTTAAAACATTGTGATTCACATCAATAGAATATTTTTTGTAATTTATACACTACACAATAGTTTATATACAGTTTCATTGTTATATTTAAATTTAATAATTTATACTTAGAACAAGAACGCTCTGACCAAGCAACCCCAAGCTTTACGAAGCGCTTAACCAAAGATTCATTATACATAGCTCGGTTACTGGGGGAAATATAAACAATTATTGACTCAAAATTTATTCGGTTATTAAAATGTCTTGAAACACTAATTATTATTATTAAAGCAACTTCATGGGCATTTGAATATATAATAAAAAAAAAAAAAAAAATTTATGCAGAATAATTGAAAGTTAATTGATTATTAAACATTATTATTATTATAGGATAGGTATCTGTAGATTCGTGGGCACATTTCCTCCCGTATCTATTTTTTTCGTTTTAAATTTATAATAATTATACATTCATTTTGTATTTGTAATAGTAGTTAAATCCGTACAGACGGCCGTTTGTATCTTGAACCATTACCGATGTTGTCATATATTATATCAACAAATGTATATTAGTTATAGTAGAAATTAAAACGGCTGATTGATATGATAACACATTTTATATTAATTGTACAAAAACGTAAATGGGGTTTTTATTTACTACTGCTGGATATTCACTAATCCCTATTTACAATAATATACATGTCTTACAACTTAAGTAAAAAAAAATAATGGATTAATCAATATTTATGTGTATTTTAGAACTATAATATAAACCATTTATTATTTATTTATTTTTTGGCAATTTGAAATTGTGAAAATAACGTCATATTTATTTTACATTTAACCAAAAATTGATATTACAAGATAATAATGAAAATAACTTTATTGTGCTTGTCTTTAGTTTTTATTCTTATTATTTATTATTATTATATCTTTGAGTGTTTCATTTTTATAGTTAATCTCATTTTTGGGCTTTATTTTTTCTTGGACAAAATAATGACGTTGTATTTATGACATGAACGCTTTTACAAATTTTATTTTTATTTATGTCTAATATTAATTTTTCAAAGCTTGTAATAGTTATTTTATTAGAATTACATAAGAAAAAAACTAATACAAGCTCATGACAAGAATACCCAATTGTTTAATAATAATTTATCCGTGTACTTGTCAATTTTTATTTTTATTTAAAGATAATACTTTTTACACAAAATATAATTATTGTTTCTTTTTAAAATTACGATAAATATGTTGAATTATATAGAATCTGTTTTTTCATAAAGTTTTGTTTGAATAAATTTCGGGTTCTAACACATTTTGAGGCGTTCAAGTCATTACATAAAAAAAAAAAAATAAGAAAAAAAATATGATATGTTTATGTATGTAACTATTTAGATCACCCATAAGCCGTAAATAAAATAACACAAAATTAGCATTATAATATTTATAGAATAATTGTACGCTTTATATTTTTTCTTAAAAAAATTGAATTTTTTATTTCAAAACTTATCATAGAATAGTTTGGTGAAAGGGTTAGTAAAAAAAATTTAATAAACGAATAATAATAATTAAAATATAAATAACGATTTATAAACTATATTTCCATAACACCACTGGTAGGTAAGCCGACTGTAAAAAAATTAAAATAAAAATAAGAAATATATATAATATTTAAAAATTAAAAGTAAAACATTAAGTAAGACCGAGAAAGAGCTAAGTAAAACGCAGGGAAAAAAACCACGACAGCCTCACCCGGACACAACAGGAGTATATATTATTTTGATATTTTTTATTATTAGGGGGGGATGTTAGGCGATAAGATATGCAGTTTTTTTTTCTACAATCTGTCCATCAGCCGTTGAGTGCATTTTTTCCAATGAATCCAATGTATCGTTTGTAATAGAATTATAATATCTGTGTATGCATGCAGTCAGGACTAAGATAATTATTTACGTACGTTGCATTTTGTATGAATTATTATTATTATATATATATGTGTCGGAGATATTATTATGTATTCGGTTATCTTGTTCTTGTTTAATTTTGACGACGTTCCGCGCGCTGTTATTTGTTTTGTATACAAACGTGCATTTTATTAATATGTGTATAAGTGTCCAGTGTTTGTGAACGCTGTGTTACAGTCTCCTTTTTCTACCATGGGAAAAAAATTAAATTATTCTAGTTATAAAAAATTTTAAAAAATTAAATAATAATCGTATATATGTATGTATGTATATGTATAATATATATATTATATATATTTGTTTGTCTAATTATTGTTATTATTTACCTTTTTACTCTCCAAACACCCTAGATCTACGCTCTATCTCTATTTCTCTCTCATGTATTCCTACCATTATCTGATGTTCGTGGTTCCTACATCCTACATATAGGTAATAGATTCTTACTTATTAATGTTATTTTTTATTGTAAATTGTAGAAAAATAAATAAGATTACATTTAAATTATTCCATATTTCCTCAATATTATGGTGTTGAGAAATGAGAAGATAATATTTTCCATTGTACCTAAGTACCATTGGTGTTTTTTTAGTGTTACATTAAATTGGAAATTTTAAAAATTATGGAATAAAACTATTCATTTCTTATATTTTGATAATTTAATGATAAGTTGAATGCGTTCATATTTGAATACATATTTTTTGAAACAATGTTTACATCGTTACTAATACATCTTTTTTTTTTTATTGACCATTAATAAAAAGTTGGCTTCATTGACTAGGCCATTAGTACTACATATTATAATGCATATATTGTTAAAAGTTTAGGACAGATAGGTACGATCAATAAATGGAATACTATTCAGTCCTTCAAACAAACATTAATTCTGGATAAATTATAATTATCAAAATATATTTTTTTTAATTATAATTCATATCGCAATATCATCACCATTAATACCAAAAACATAACTTTATGAACACATAATCGTTACTTAGTTAATATTGTATAAAACACCTTTATTAAGATAGGTATTTTATATTATTTAAACATTGTAGGTTAATATCCTAAATAGTTTCATTTTTAAATATCGTATTAACATTTTTTTTTTGTTATAAATTTATGAAGTTATAGGGTGATTTATTTGCAATTCTTATTTGAACATTAGAAAAGAACTTATTACCAAGTAACCTTAGTAACCCATCACCTGCTATTCCCTAGGAATTGAGCATATTGTATCCAGATGGACAAGTAGATGTGAATCAATACTCAAATAATTGTTAACTATGGTGGCCGGTAACTGGTAAGCAGAGACTTCCTAGATATGATTTGTTATTGACGTTTGTATAGGCACGCTCTAACTGTAGTTGGCATTTTTCTGATTTTGTAAAACTTTTATCGTGTGATAAATGTTATTATAAACTAATACGCACAATATAAAATTTATAAATGTACATATTGTAGCACCTAAGTACTGTACTACTACTCCTATTTTATCATTATTGATGCCTATTATTATCGTATTGAAGTAAGTTTTTTTTTTTAAATAATGTAGTGACAAACAAGGGGCAATACGAGTATAGGTACCAACACGAGGGATACTTGACTGGGATAAATGAATTTCTCAATAACCCGTTGTCTATTACAAAACGTCTTTAGAACACTATTGCCGTTTAAGTTTTTGTATCGTATCTGATTTTTGATAAGAAATCAGTGATATATTAGTAACATTAACTGACGTGATATCAGTGTTTTACTGTTACTTTATCTTCCCCTTATGTCGAGCAATTATTTAGTAAAACTGTATATAATGTCATACTGTTTGATATTTCAATACCATGTTATTATTATTTTAGAAATTCTAATCATATTAATTTTTATATAAATAAATGTACTTTTTTTGTCTATCTGGTATTTTTTATAATTAGTATAATAATGGTGTTAAGAATATAATAGGTACCTGTTTCATTTTATATCATAGTGGGACTAATGTGAGTATAAGATGGAACTCTGTTTTTTTCGTAATACTTAATTTTTATTTATTACATATTAGTGTAATTTTAGATCCTTCGATTACTCAGAAGATTTTACTTTTATTTAATACCTAAAATCTAATTTTAAAGTTTTATCAAGAAACTCAATACAGTAGATACCTAGAAAGAGTAAATTAATAAGTTTTTTTTTGCGAAATCGGATCGTGTATTTGATAAACTACTACTTCTTTCATTTTTCGAGGAAAATGTAGCCCCTTAATTCTAGTGCACTACACAATTATCCTGAGAAACCGATGTAGGCAATATATGTTATGTGACCCTAGAGATTTAAACTTTTGACTAAAAATAAATTTTATCAACTTAGTAGTTTACTT